CAGCCTAGGATTTCTTTACTATCTCCGCAGTTTTGGCTTTTTTGAAATGCCATGTAGTTAGAATCAACTGTATATATCCTTTTCACATTGGCTCCTTTGACTGAATAATAAGTATTTAAGTTGCCTTCCTGTTTTCTCATGGCTTGATAGTTCATTTCTTAGTGCTGAATAATATTTCATTGTCTGATTGTACCTTAGTTTGTTCATTTACTCATTAAAAAGATACCTTAGTTACTTTAGCAGTTTTGATTGGACTGCTATAACCATCCATGTGCAGGCTTTTGTGTGGATATGTTTCAACCAATGTAATGAATAGAAACCACGGTTTGTTATTATTTCCTATTGTAAGGGTATATTTAGTTTTGTAAGAAATTACTTGACTGTCTTCCAGAATAATCTGTGCCATTTTGCATTGCCATCAGCAATTAATGATGTTTCTGTTTCTCCATATCCTTGCCTAGACTTGGTTTTTTTCTTGACTCTAGATTTCAGCCATCCTAATTGTTGTGTAGTTTAGCTCATTATTGTTTGCAGCTTCCAGATGACATGAAGTGAACAAGTTTGTTTGCTTATTTGCCATCTGCATGTCATCTTTGGTGGGGTGTCTGTTCAGATATTGTGCCTTTTTAAAGTCAACTTATTTGTCATCATTGCATTTTAGGAGTTCTTGTGTTTTGGATAACAGTCTTTTATCAAGGTGTCTTCTGTAAATATTTTCTCACACCCCGGCTTGTCTTCTCATTCTCTTGACAATATCTTTAAAAGAAAAATTTCAAATTGTAAAGAATTACAGCTGAGTAGGACCAGGGATTTAGCTCACTAGCATAGCGCCTGCTTGGCAAGTGTGAGGTCCTGAGTTTGAACCTCAGTACCAAAAAAAAAAAAAAGAAAAAGAATTACAGCTGATCAACTCATTTTTTTTTATGTTATCCCTGTAGAGTTCTATTTGCAAAGTCAATCACCAAACTCACTGCCCCAGATTTTCTCCTATGTCATCTACTAAAGGAATTGTATAGTTGTGTGTTTTACATTTAAGGCTGTGATCCATTTTAAGTTAATTTTTTTGTGAAGAATATATGATCTGTGTAGATTCTTTTTTTTGTAGCTGTCCAGTTATTGAAGCACCATTCTCCATTATGTTGTTGTGGCCCCTTTGTTAAAGATCAGTTGACTGTATTTATGTGGGTCTGTTTGAACTTTCTACTCTGTCCATTGGTCCGTTCATTCTTTCACCAGTACCACACTGACCTGATTACTGTGACTTTATAGCTTGAAGTTTGGTATGGTTAGTATGTTCAGTTTTGTTCTTTAGTATTGTGTTAGCTATTCTGGGTCTTTTGCCTCTCCATGTAGTTCAAAATCAGTTTGTTGTTACTCACAAAATAACTTGTTGGAATTTTGTTTTTTTGTTTTTTGTTTTTTGGTACCGGGGATCGAACTCAGGTCCTTACGCTTTTGAGGCAGGCAGCAGAACCACTGAGCTAGATCCCCGGCCCACTTGTTGGAATTTTGATAGAGGTTGTATTGGCTCTGAAGATGAAGTTGATAAGAACTGTCATCTTTTCTTTTTTTTTTTTTTTGGTACCGGGGATCGAACTCGGGTCTTTGCAGTTGCGCAGCAGGCGGCGAAACCACTGAGCTAAATCCCCGGTCAATCATTCTATTTTTCAATGGGCAAGTTGATTAAAAATATTATAGAAGAAATATTTATCCAAATGTCTATCATGCCACATACATGCATAGATAGTGTATGTATGTATGTATGTATGTATACAGTTAGTTATTTTTCTGTCAAATGCTTTTGACAGACTGATAGACGGTCCTTTTAAGGACATCATTTAATTTGCAGATTACCAATTTTTTTAGTATAAAATATCATAAATCCTAGTGGTTACTTTAGTCATTTGGACCATAATAAAACGTAACCTTTATTTGACTATATAG